CTAACCCGCATTTGCGTTACATGGAGAGGAAGACCACGAGAACCTCCCACGGTTAGCCTGACGGCAAGGGGACTCTAACCCATGATCCGTCTACCACTGAGGATATTTCACGTTAGCACTGTGGACGGTGCAAGCCGGATGCGGAATTCGTATCGACTGGGATTCGAACCCGGTTCGCCTCATTGGAAGGCGAACGCTCTATACCCTGAGCCATCGCGGCTCTTGGTTTGCTATCTTGTGCATTTTGAGGACAACTAAGTTTTCTCAAATGAGAAACTTGGAAAATCAGTTCTCCCCGAGAGTTATTATACAGTGAGGATAAGCAGTGTGGGAGAAAAACGGTTTCTATCCATGAGTAAACGAGACGAACAAAGAAAAGTATAATGAAGCAGACGACAAAAAGAATAGTGAAGAAGTAATGATTGGGGAGAAAAAAACGGTTCTCGCCCAATCTGATTTTCAAATTTGATTTTTTTTAAACTCCAAAATTTTTTAATTTTGTTTTGAAATTTTTAGGGGATGTAAATAAATGCTTGTGACGTTCGTGTATCGTTTTATTTTTACAAATTCAACCAAATTCATTCGAATTCATTCCTAAAAGTTCTCAAACCTTGAAATTCGTTTTCGTGAGAATTAGATTTCACGGACATAAACCGTACCTTTCCCCTTAATCTTCATTTATGTGAAAATCACATTTCAAAATTACATTTTTATTATAAAAATTTACATTTTATTGTCAAAAATTACATTTTTATTATCAATTACAAAATACTTCTCAGAAATTTACTTTTTTTAACAGAAATAAATAATTTGAAACACCAGCGTCTTAAAATTATTCGTTTTCAAAACTGTGCGTGCAGTAATAAGTGAAAAAAAACTGAAACTTTAGGTGGTTGTTTTGAGGTTGATCGTTGTAAAAAAATACTCTGAGTTAGAAAATGCTATTATGTTTTGCACCAAAAATAACCTCGTCAATAAATCTCATCTACATCTCATAAAATCCCCTCATATATAGATCAGCAATACCTTTAGTTGAAATTGAGTGAAATTATTCACACTTCAAATATACTTTTTTTGCTTGAAGTGTAGAAAAAATTACATAAATACCTCGAAAACAACCTCTCTAAGCTCTTTGCTCTGAAATAGATTTCTATGAACCTCAAAACAACTTCAAGTGAGAATAAAACAACTTCATTCACTTTGATTATAAATCCTGGTCGGTTGAGTTTTTTAAGTTTGTTCTTAAAGACAACTTTAAACAAACCTCAGATCAATCTTTTCATTTTAAAACATCCTTAAATAAACCTCAAAAGCACCCTAAAATTCAGTAAGAGCTGATTCTTTTCTTTTTTTAAAAATTTTGTATAAAATATATATTTTTCATTGTAAAATTTTCTTTCACATAAAAATTCAGTCTGGTCTAAGTCATCCAAGTATTTAAATTATCGCTACAAAAATCTGAAGTAATCATTCGCAGTTGCCAGATACGAGACGCATAAACTTTAATCTATTTGACAGCAAGCTAGTTATATTTAGCTCTTAAAATAACGTCTTTAATAATTGTTATTAATGTTCATTCATAAATTACTGGATTTCTTTGTGTAACATGAAGCTTCGGTGTTATAAAAGTATAAAAGGTGAAGAATTTACGGCCTATTTTTATTTCCTGGAAACTTGAAACAATAGAGTAAAATGATTTTGAAACACTACATCATAGGCATGAAATGTTTCAATTTGTTCTTTATCGTTTGCAATAATTTGCAACTTTGGAAAAATATATTTTGTTCAAACGAACTTTTTCCAAATTAAGCTGTGTAAGAAATATTTTTGTCAGATTTAATACAACATTGCTGCTCAGAAAAAAAAAATGGTAAAACTACCGTATGGTAAGGCGATTTCTGGTAAAAAATATACATATAATTTTGGCTAATAAGACCAAAATAAATTGTGAACTATTTATTTGGTTATTTTTTCGGTCACATTTTCGGGAAATTCGGTTTTTCAAAATTTCACCAAATTTTATCACACATTATAAAACCATATTTAATTGTTAATTTTTTACTGAAATCATTAACAAAGCTCTTCGACTAAAATTGCAGTCATTTTGGTGTTCTTATAGAGCCAGAAACATGGTAAAGTTTACTATAGTAAACTAGCGTGTTTCTGGCTCTATAGGAACAGCAACAAAAAAAACTCTGCAATTTTAGCCGAAGCGCTTTAGTTTTGACCCTAGCAGTTTTGACCTTAGTTTCTTTCTCAGTTTGAATATAAAAATATCTTATATTTTTCTTGATATTTTTAATTTCTTTTTTATTCAAAAAGTGTGTTAAAATACCTGCAAAATTTTTATTTTTTTAAAAACACATTTATTGAAATTTGAAACAATGGTGACAAAATTATCGGTAATTTTTTTTAGAAAATACCATCTGTTTTTAAAAGTCATCTTTTTCATCTGTATTATTTTGAAATCCATGAGGCTTCGGTCGAATAATCTTAGCAATAACTTTATAACGTTGCAAAACATATTTTATTCTAATGAATATATTCAGAATAAGGTGTTTTATAAATATTTTTGTTATATTCAATATTGACATCTGAAACAGTTATACAGTTACAGTTATACAAAATTATTTTTAAATACGTGAAGCCTATCGGTCAAACCACTACAAAAATAAAATATATTTATCGTTTGAATCGTTTTCGTTTTTTTTATCGTTTGAAAAATTTGAAACTTTATAACATATTTTATTCAAATGGACTTTATTTAACTGCGATTAAGAATTATTTTGCTAATTTTAAAGCAGCTAAATTACTAAAGATAAAAATTCATCTAATTAATACCATCCGGCATAAGTTTACGTTGCACGGCAGAATATTTTTTCTTTACTTTAAAACACTCGTTCTAACCCAAGCTAAATGTTATTTTTCATTTCTCAAATATTTATTTTTAAAGAACATCTTACTTATACTCGATTTTTCAAATTTTTTACAAAATCAATATTTATCATTGTGTTTTTATGACTTTTTTCCCCAAAGAAAGTGAAGCAAAAATGAGCTCAACCTCTCTTTCAGCTGAGCATTTTCCTAGTGTTGGTGCGTGTATTATGAGAACTGCTATTGCGTGATGTAAATCGTAATGTACCATGTCAACGATTTAGTTGGGGGGCCTAAACACCAGAGATTATTATGCACTAAACGAGCATACCTAATGGATTCAATATCCGGTCAAAAGATGTCACTTTTTTTCGATTACTTCACTGATGATAGTAGAAATATTCTGTGGCCATCCATGGTCAATATCTAGAATCTTTTGCCATTTAGATTGGATTTTCAATTTATTGTCTCAAATTTTTGGTAGTGTGATTTATTCTTTTCTGTTAAAAGATCTTTAAATTTACATGGGCCAAGAATAGTAATAATTGGTATCTTATAGAGTTGCCTAGTTCTTGAATGCAGAGCATTTATTCTACACTGGTTATCATAAATTAAGGAAAAATCACAAAAATAGCGATAACTCTTTCAAAAGTAAGCCAAACCGTGCAAAATTTGCATATGTTGTCCACTAAGAGTAGCTGAGTAAAATTGCAATATGCAAATTAGTGGCGCTGCACTCGGCTTACGTCATCTGCCTGGAGCATAAAAGTCCAAGTTTGAGAGAAAGCACACAAATTTTACTGTGATTGCGACATTGAAAATCTGAGATAGCCAATTCGTAATAATGACCTCTAGGCATCATTTGCCTGAAGAACTACGATGGAGAGCCATCGGGAGACTAGAGGCAGGGCAGAGTCAATCAGAAGTGGCCAGATGGCTAAATGTGAGTCCATCTGTGGTTCATAGACTTTGGAGGCAATTTCAAACCACAGATTCGGCATCTAGGAGGTTCAGTCAAGGACGGCCAACTGTTACGACCAGTGCCGATGACCGATATTTGACATTAAGTGCACGCAGGAATAGAACCGCTACTCCGACACATCTTAGATCCTCTCTTGCTGCAGCCACCGGAAGGTTGGTGTCAACGTCAACTGTGCGCAGAAGGCTCCACGAAGGTGGTCTGTATGCGAGACGACCAGCCATTTGCGTGCCGCTCACATCACGCCATAGGAGAGACCGTTTGCAGTGGGCCCGACAACATGTCCACTGGACGTCAGATCAATGGAGGCCTGTTCTCTTTACGGATGAGTCCAGGTTTAGTCTAGAAAGTGACAGTAGACGTTATTTGATATGGAGAGAACCTGGGACCCGTTATCATCCATCAAACATCCGTGAAAGAGATGCATACGGAAGAGGCAGT